TCTAAGCAACCCCAGCTTTCTACTCATTGGACACATTGGATTATGGGATTTGTCATTTTGTGAGACATTTAGCCTTCTCCATCAGAGAGCCCTGGTACCACAACAAACTACAAATCCTAGGATTCCATAGTATTTAGCCATGGAGTAAAAGCGATGTCAAACTGGATTATTTATGCAGTGTGGATACAGCCTAGTGACATGTACCTTGTCTTTCCCTCTTGTTATGAATGTGTATGGTACATGACACAAAGTTAAATTCATATCACTTGCCAGCCAAGACACAGAACTTTTTTTTTTTAACAAAAAGCTGTTAGATCTCTGTGTGGCAAAAAGTGAAAATATAATAGTGAGAAAGAGAGTAAGAAAGGAGAGTCGGTTTTGCATCCAGGCCCTACAATTAGGCGAGAGTGCCTTGTCTTAACCCTCAGGGTGATGGCATGATATATTAGCTGTAAAGCAGACAGAAGATGAAGAAATGATAAACCAGTTGCCTCATTAGTTTATATATGCGGTGGGAACAGAGACAAGTGGAGAAACTGGTGTGGAAAAAAATCTTTTTACACACATGCAACTCATTATTTATTTATTTTTAAGGAATCAAGCCTGCCAGTGGAAAAAACAACAACAAGCAAACATGTAATTCTTCAAGGTTAAAAAGCTGGCTGTGTTGAGCAGGCTTCCACTTCCAAAAGGCTTTTATGTTTGTTTGTATGTTTAATAAATTGGATTTCGCCTTCCTTCTCACAGTGACTACTAGCCCTATACCTCCTTGACCATAACCAAGGCCAGAGTTTAGAAATGTTGCTTTTAGAATTACAACTCCGGCATCCATAGAAATCCCAGCCAATGTGGCAACTGGAAGTTGTAGTCACAAAAGTTTCTCAAGCAAAGAATAGGAGGCAGCATATGTGTATCCAGTGTACAGTATTTAGAGGTACACTGCCTCTGAACAAGGACGTTCTATCAAATTGTCATGACTTTAGATAGACTTCTCTTCCAGGATTCGTGTCCAATCTTGTTTATTAAAGTCTTCAAGTACCTCTTACAGCAGTGACAGCAGAAAGGATGATTTCTAGAGACGGTTAGCAATACTGGATCTCTGGTGACACTAAAATGTATGAACCCATACTCTCCACTTGATCTGCTTTGACAGGGACAGTCCAATTAATCCTCTGCTGTCCCACTTTTTCATCTGCTTTTAAAATGTCCCAGCTTCTCTATCCTCCTCCCTCTGTCTTCCCTTTTACTAAGCTCACTTCAATTGCTGGAAAAAAGTACAGTAGAAGTTTAGACTCAATTAACTCAGCAGAAGGGAGAGGGCAAAATCTTACCCTTTCCATTAGACTCAGGCAAAAGCAAACTACTGCAGCCTCTCCTAGCATGTATGTTTTCCCACACTAATAACTTTTGCCTTCTTGACCACACTTTTATGTTTCTTGACCACATTTGTCCTGGCTTTCATCTGTGAAATGTTAGAGCATATGTCAGCCACCTTTGCTGCAGTTGCTGCTGAAAGTTGGCATCAACTGCAGCAGGTCTCTGACACAAGGAAACGCCAGAGTGTCCTCCCACATCATAGAGACTGCAGGGCAGAGGAGGAAGGAAAGTGAGAAGGGGGAAATTGCAACAGGGCTGAATTTCAGCATTTCATTTCTAATTGTGACAACTGACAGTGCCATGATAGGGCCTGTGAAAACGGGTAAGGCAGGTGTCAACTGTAAGTGATTTATGGAATTGGATAAAGAATAAATGTGTTGTTTTCTGCATGCTCTCCAGCTGACCCAATTTTGCAGGGACAATCATGATTAATCCTGTGCATTCTCAGCTGCTTTTAAAATGTCCCAGTTTTTCTCTCCTCCTCCCACTTTCCCTCTTTGCCCTTAGCTTACTTCAGTTGCTGCAAAGTTCAAAGTGCAGCTGGGGGGAGAGGAGAGAAGGTGACTGACTCTTGTCCTGCCCAGTAAGCTCAGGCAAAAGCAAACTGCTGCATCATCTCAAAGATGTGTGTTCTTCCTCATTAGTTACTTTTGCCCTCTTAATCACCTCTTCTTGGTCACACGTGCCACAGATTTCTTCTGTTAAATGTTGGACTGTACAATGGGCCCCTGGTATCTACTGGGGTTTAGTTCGAGAACAACCCCCCCCCATGGATACCAAAATCCGTGGATGGTGATGCCCCAATATCTTTAATGGCATAGTAAAATGGTGTCCCTTATATAAAATGGCAAAGTCAAGGTTTGTTTTTTGGAATTTATATATATATATTAATATTTTCAAGTTGTGGATGCTTGAATTTGTGGATAAAGAATCTGTGGATACAAAGGTCCGACTGTATGTTCCTAAATACAAAATTTGTTAATTTGTTGGTGGTCAGTCAATTTCATTGCAACTATGGGTGAAGGAGAAGCAATATTTGGCCCTTTCTGGATTTCTCTTGTGTTTTCTTTCCCCCTCCATTCTCAATCCTTAATAAGGGGCTTCTCTAAATTTTTCTTAAATTGTTAAAAAAAAAAGTAGCCAAAGAGAACTGCGTGCAACTTCTGAGTGACAAGTTGCCAAGTGGCTTACACAGCCCAGATATCATTCTTTGTCTGTTTTTCTCTGTCTCAGACCTTTCCTTTGTCCTTAGCTCAAACAAAGCATTGTCTATTCTTCCCTGGAGTAGCTTATCCCTTCCCTCTGGAAGGAAATCTGGAGAATCCCTCAATTCATTAGTTGAACCCCCTAGCCATCACCTAGCCCTTATGGACTTCCCCTTGGAGTTTCCCTAACAAAGGATATACTTGACTATTTTGTGTCATTTGGGCTCCAATAAACTACTCCTGCCCAAACCCCACTGTCTCACATCATAGGTGACTTATTCAGCACATTCATGTGCCCCGATTCATACATTGCTTCAAAACATGCTGGCCAGATATCCCCTATGGAAGTGGTTCCCAAACTTTAGTTTGCCAGATATTTTAGACTTCAGCTCCCAGATACCCCAACGACCTTGGCCAACAGTCAGGAATTCTGGGGCTGAAGTCCGAAACATCTGGAGAAGCAAAGTTTGAGAACCACTTGGACATTTTTGTCTAGTGTTGACCAGCTATATTCTGCTGATCTCTTGCCCTCCGATCAATATCTGAATGGCTCTCCTTCATTCATTCCAACTGCTGCCTCTCAAGGTGGGCTGGCAAGATCAGCCCAGGAGACATTCAGTGATATTTCATTGTGATTTCAAGGTTACAACTCTGACGAAGAGCAATTCCCCAGGATTTCAAGCAGGATTCTTTCCTAGCCTTACCTGGAGATCTCTGATATTTCCTGGTGGTCTCCAAGTACTAACTAAGTGGACACAACCCTGCTTGGCAGCCAAAATCAGACAAGACTGAGTGTATTCAAGATGGTGTGGTCATAGAGAATATACAGAAGACAAAGAGACTTCCACTACCTCCAAAGTCAGCCTCATAGAAAGCTTAACATTAGACAGTTTAACACTAGACAAAGTGTTTTGTATACAGAAGGTCTCTGCTTCAGTCCCTGGCAAAGATCCCTGATCTAAAGGATTAGGCCTTTAAAGGAAGAGACTTGTCTCTGAAAACTATACCTGGCTGGTGCCAGTTGGTAGGAAAAACTGCATTAGAAGTTTATTGCACAGCTTTTTAAACCGGCTTACCTCTTCCGATTAAAATTTTAATTCAGGCAGCATCCTGATATTATCACAGCAATTTTACTGCCAAATCCACCGCCCGGGTCCATCTCAGGTCCATCCCTGTTCCCAGGCCATTTTCTTAAGCCAGAAATCTCCCAGTTTTGAAAAGAGGTGCACTGAGCACCCCTAGGAGCAAGGAGGGACCGGGATGGACCCAGGAGGCAGATTCAGTGGCAAAATCACTGCAATAATATTAGGATGCCGCCCGAATTAAAATGTAAATACGAAGAGGTAAGCCAATGTAAAAAACTCCTCAATTGAACCAGCTGCCTGATTCAGTACTAGCTGAGGCCATGATCTTTGGGGTGAAAAGAGCAGGCATGCAAGTGTGCCAGTGCCACTTCCCAAGCAAGAAACTGCAGCAAAGTTATGCAAAAGCTCAATGCAGGCAGCCTGGATGTTGTGCACAAGAGATCATCAACAAAACTACAAGTTTCACTGCCTATCTCCTGAGACTACATGTGTGTGTGTGTGTGTGTGTGTAGGAGAAATAAAAAGATAGAATATCAACTGTCAGTTCTGGGGGTAGGCTTGGAAGGTCACAAAACTTGCCAGTTTCCAGTTTTTATCATACTGCCTGTTGTGTAGGATGTGGAATTTGAGTCCAACCCTCCTGTAGTCTTGACCTAGACCTCTGGTCTTTCTCAAAGGACCACCCTGCCACCTTCATGATACCATGCCCTCCAACATTTCTCATGTGTGCTATTCCTCCTGAAAAAGTAAATTATGAGGAAGAACACACAAACTAGGAGAGGCTACCGCTACTGAGCCTACTGGGAAAGGCAAGACTCCAGGAGGGAATCCTCTCCTCTCCTCCCTGAGTTCATTGAGCATGAATTATTTTTGAACTTTGAGCTCAGTTTGAAGCAGTTGAAGTAAACTGAAGACAAATGGGTAGAAATATGAGGAAAGGAGAAAAAATGGGACTTTTAAAAAGTGGCTGACGGGATTATTTGGGACTGTCCCTGCCAAATCAAGACAGTTGGAAGGAATGTGACACCACTGTTTGGGGTTTGCCCAGCTTTGCAAAGATATTTTTATTGGATATATATATATATATATATATATATATATATATATATAGGAAGGGATATATATATATATGGGAAGGGAAGAAATATATAGGATATGAATGCAAGCTAGGCATGTACATTAATATAAGATTATCATGGCTGGAATCCTGTTGGTGACATATGCCTTTGGCGCTGTCCATAAATGGAATGAGGGCCCAATAACTTCTCTGAAAAAGGATTCAGCCCCTGGTCCAAAAAAAGGTCCCTCGTTACATTCTAAGAACTGTTTGAAAGTCAGTGTGGTATAGTGGTTTGAACATTGGACTACAACTCTAGAGGTCAGGGTTTGATCCCCTGCTTGGCCATGTAAACCTATTGGCTAATTTTGGGGAAGTCACACACTCTCAGCCCTAGAAAACCCAATGACAGGCTTGCCTTAGGGTCACTATAATTTGGAAATGACTTAAAGGCACACAACAATAACAACAACAACATGACATAAGGAGAACCAAAACATAAGAAAATATAGTGAGAGCTCAAGGATAGCTATAAGGATAACTATGCTTGCTGTTGTTAACCACTTTGAGTCAATCCCAACTCATAGTGACCCTATGGATGAGACATCTCCAAGACTACCTGTCCTCCACTGCTCTGCTTAGGTCCTGCAAATCCATACTTGCGACCTCCCTAATAGAGTCTATCCATCTGGCATATGGTCTTCCACTCTTTCTACTACCCTTTACCTTTTCTAGCATTATTGTCTTTTCCAATGAGTCGTGCCTTCTAATGATGTGACCAAAGTAAAACAACTTCAATGTAATCACCTTGGCTTCTAGGGAGATTTCAGGCTTGATCTGTTCAAGAACCCTCTTTTTTTTTGGTCTTTTTGACCATCCATGGTATCCTCAGCACTCTTCTCTAGCACCACATCTCAAATGAGTTGATCTTCTTTCTGTCCACTTCTTTCACTGTCCAATTCTCATATCCATACATGGTAATGGGGAATACAATGGTTTGGACAATTCCAATTTTAGTGCTCAGTTGTATATCTTTACTCTTTAGGATCTTTTCTTGTTCTTTTATAGCTGTCCTTCTCATTCCCTACTCTTCTTCTGGTTTCTTGACTGCTGTCTCCTTCCTGTTGACAAACCATGAGATCCATACAATTTAGGCTGTCTCCTTGTGCTTTATTTGATTCTTCTTCTTTTTTAAGTGGATGCCACTCATTTCCACTTTCCATCTGTGACACATCATGATCCTGAAGATAAACAGGGACAAAGAGGATTTGGGGTTACCTACAGCAAGACAACTTCTCCATCTATTCCCATGGGATGAGGCACAGTACTTATTCTGAACTGAGACTGGCATGGGTGCAATGCTAAGAATAAACAGTCGCATCGGGGGGGGGCAGGATAAACAAGGTATACAGAAGAACAAGATGCATTTGGTGGTATGTTATCAGAGAAATATCAGTTTGCAGGGATTTGTTCTCAATCCAGTTCCACAAAGATTCTGTATTTGGCCATCACTTGGCCTCTTTTGGCCTTATGAAAGACTCCATTGTGTAGACGCCTTCTCTCTGGAAACCTCACGGCAGCAGACAAGAAGATTTTTAAAAAAAAAATATCTACAGAGATCTAATCCTTTTTGCCCTAGGGATGGGGTGTCAAGCTTGCTCTAGATTACCTACTTAATTATAGTCTGTGGGTACAGATAGACTATTTATTGCCCTTGATTGAGAGATAGCTATTGGAACTTTGCCACCATGGTGACATGAGAAAGGGGGAGTAACTGAACTGTGAAACCCTGGACTGTTTAGTTTAAACATGGGTTTGATTTTTAGGGAATTTAAATGCTGCTTCCTACTAATCTCAATGAATTATGGTTGTAGAATGGGTAATTCAATGCAATCTAGGCCATCATTTATACACACTAGGAGTGTAAATTTTTGCTTCTTTCCTTCTTGCAAACAAGAATAAATAATTTCCAATGTTTTCTTCCCACTAGAAAAGATTGCATGAGTTTTTGCATATTTTTAATTGTTGCTTTGTTTTGCTTTGCTTATACAGTCATCCCTCCCGATTCATGGGGGATCCCTTCTGGACACCACCACCACCACCCCCCAAATCGAAAAACCACAAATATTGGAGCCCCATTGTTTTTAATGGGCATGCAGCCCTGCATGCGCCAGGGGCGCGTGCATCTTCATGTGTACGCTATTTTGTCCCTCCTGGCTTCCCATCTGCAGAAATTCAAAACCATGAATGGGAAGTCAGCAAATCCAGAAGATCAATTGTATTCTGGGACTCTTTTCTGGAAAAATATCACACATCAAAAATGTTGGCTTTCGTAGAAAACCAAGTGTTTGGCCCAAATCTATTTTTCCACAATAAAAAGACCCAAAGTGTGAAAATATGTTAATGGTTAACCACTCTCAGTAGAATGCCTTGATATCAAGTGCAAGAAATTTTGAAATGAGGATGATGGTCCCATCCTTCATATAGTCTGAGATTGAATGTGGCTTTGTTGCTGTTGTTGTGTGCCTTCAAGTAGTTTCCAACTTATGGTAACCCTATCACAAGGTATTCTTGCTAAGATTTATTCATAGAAGGTTTGCCCTTGCCTTCCTCTGAGACTGAGAGAGTGTGATTTTCCCACGATCACCCAGTAGGTTTCCATAGCTGAGCAGGGATTTCAACCCTGGTTTCTAGAGTCATACCACCACTCAAACCATTACACCACACTGGCTTATTCAAGGCAGCTTACAACAATTAATAGAAACATAGCTTAAAACTACACCAGTTACAAAAGTTTAAAATATAAATAAATCAATCTTCATTTAAAACCAGTTAAAAACATAGGCCAATGTTCTGTATCCCGAACTCATCTCATTGTGTTTAGACAAGCCCACGGTCGTTGCAGATCAGGGTAACCCGGAGGCAAGCTGATTTTTATATCAGTGTAGACCCACCCACACATAGAGACACCCCTCAGTAATATATTTATGACCATGTCACTGTATGATCTGTAGTGGTTATTACTACTAACATATACCATATCATCAGGGAAAATAGCACAGTTCAAGGTAGCCTTTTGCAACCTGGTGTAGCCAAAAGTCTATGGGAAATTTTAATTAGCTCAAATCGAGAGGGGGTCAGCTACAAGGACCCTGTGAAACTGTCTCCCACGTGTATGCCAAGAGTCCGGTGAATCTGAGAGTTGATGCAGAGGCAGGATTCTCCAATTAAGTTATTATTTATTGAACAGTAGAAAATCACACAGCAAAGCACACAAGCACACACGTACTCTTACAGGGTTTAGGGAAATCAAGGGTTAGAGGCCGAGGCACTGCTGCTGTGATACTTACTACCGACAAAGCCTCTTCCAGAGTCTAATTCAGTGAAGGTGTATGAGACGCCCAAGAGCATGGGTTGGACAGAGGTGCCGGTAACCAGATCAGAGAACAGAGTGACATGAGGTCCCCCTACACTCAGATTAGTGACACTGAGGGGAAGAATCCAGGGTTTTTTAAAGGAAAGATCTAGCCTCTGGTGAGGTACCTGATTGCTTGGCTAAAAGCTTAGACAAAAGAAGTTTGATTGCTTAACAATAGCTTGGATTGTTTGGCTAAGGTTAACTTGGGGGGGATGCAGACCAGGGTGTTGGGGACGCCCTGGGACGGTGCGCCACGGGGCCATGGCAGCTGCACCACGGCGCACCGACGGCGTCCCTGAAAGGAGCGCAAAAATAGCACTCCTTTCAGAAGACAGGGAAAGTGCGCCCTAAACGCATAGGGCGCACTTTCCCTGGCTTTTCTGCTGCAGCGTGTGAGGATGCTGCAGCGGGAGGTTGCCCTGGGAGCACTGGCCGTGCAGACGGCCGGCAGCTCCAAGGGCAACCTCGGGAAGAGGAAGGGGCGCCGCGCGTGCGGCTGCCCCTCCTCTTCCTGGCCTCCAAGACGACTCTATTAGTCGTCTGCCAAGGCCCTTGGATTATTTAGCTGAGGTTTAGACAAAGGTGTTAGATTGCCTAGCTGAGGTAATCTGGTCTGGCAATATTCAAGGAGAAATGAGAGGGGACTGAGTTGTAGGGCCGGCCCATCAGGTAAGCCATCTCTGCCATTATTGCTCATCCTTCTGATTATGGAGGTGATGATAGCCCATTTGCGACTCCCATACTGTCTGCCTGGCTCTGTGATTTGGGGATTTTCCAGTTCTCCAATTGACCTGGGCATGGCCTCTATGCCCTGCTATGGAAGCACATGGATTTGATCCAGAGTCCATCTGGGGCCATGTGGAATTCATACACACCAAATTCAGAAAAATGCACTATCAGTAACACTGGTGCCCTCCAGAGATGTTGGATTATCATTCCCACCAGTCAGAGGTGTCAGAAGGAAGGTGCAGGGGGTGTGAACAGCATGGGGTGACACCCCAGAGGGGAGTGTAAATGTAGTGGGGCAATACACCCAGAGGGACTGGCATGGCTATTGGGTGAGCAAGAAAGAGAGTCGTCTCTTTCTTGATCGCACAGCAGCCACTCCAGATCCCAAATGGGCCCTCTGGCTGCAGTGCTGCCTCTTCAGCATTAGCTGCTGCTGGGCAGGGGGTGTCTTCCATTCTGAGACCAGTGTGGCTACTAG